ACACACACACACACACACACACACACACACACACACACACACACATGCAAAGAACCGTCGAAACGCCCAGAGACTTCGTCAAGATGGACACATACCATGCCAATTCGCTTCTTCATGTTTGTTGTGTAGGGGATCTTGGTAATTGGTCTGCTCAGTGGATCAACAGAAACAGAAAAGCACATCGTTAGTGTAAGGAAAATAAGAATAGACTGTTTCAAGCAGTGCAACTTCGTCTTCGTGAAAGCGACATACAACCTGACATCTGCCGTTTCTTATCACCATCATCTCATCTAAGGAGGAAACAACATGAAAGCATTCACCCATGGATTAGAGGTACCCAAAATGCCACTTCTCAAACCATCCCGGTCAGTAGTATGTGATGAATGGAGGGTGGGAGGGAGGAAGGGGGGTAGCGGGGCTAGGGAGGGAGGGGAAAGGCCAGACAGATGGGGCAACAAAAGGGAGAGGGAGGAAGCGAGGGAGGCAGAGAGCGAGCAAGGCAGTGAGTGTAGGGGCGAGTGAGGGAGCAAGGGAGACATTCTCCCATTTCCCAATGCGGGCATAGGTCCCCCGCAAAAAAAACTTTACCTACACAATAAGCAGCAACACATACAACATCAGACCCTCTACCCACACCCCCCCCACACATACACATCCTAGCTGCTGCAGTGGACAAGCCAAGGCGCATGGAGTTCAAAAAACAAACCCAGAGATTGGATGGTTGAATGAGCGCTTCCAATGGATATGATCCACCAACCACGCCATTCCCAGGACAATCAGAAACTCACCCCCTGACATCAAGTGTATCTCTGGGGACAAGGTTATTCATATGCTGCGTCATTTTTCCATTCGGATACACCTAAACCACAAACAAACCACGAAGAGGACCGGGTGCATAAGATCATAACAGACTAGCCTTCCAGAGTGGCCCGGGACCACTTCCCTAGCCAGGCCTAAAAATATATATATATATATATATATATATATATATATATATATATATATATATTTTTTATTTTTTATTTCAAATTCGGTAAAGAAATTCGTTAAAAGTTGTTCAGTTTTTTTTCTACATACCATTGTTTTTTTCAGACTTTTTGGTTTTTTTTTTTTTCTTCTTCTGGGACCACATTTGGTCTTCGCAAGGCCAGGTAGCCCGGGCAAACAAGGTGACCCGGGCGGCCCGGCTGGTAGCCTAGGTGCACAACGACGTCACAAATATATCAAACATACACCAACATAATTCACATTTCAAGACAATGGAATATCAGGAATTCATTGTCCAATGAGCGAAGCGTGTTGCTCACAATACTCAACCAAAACCATGCAATTTAAAGCTATGGCAGCCATTCCGGCACGCCCTCCACTAGATCACTGAGAGTTAGGACAGCCAACGACCGCTGAATTCAACTGCACTGCACTTTTGTAGACAGTCATTCCAGGACCATTTCCATCGCTTCATACTCGCAAATCTTGCGAAACATTGTTATTGGATCTTTCCACTCCCACTCCCTTTCATTGAGCCTTCACAAATACCACATGAGCATCGCTTCGCTGTTCCACAGAATGGCGCAGCATTACGGTTCTACTGAAGCAGAAACAACATCCTGTTTCAACTTATGACGCATCATGGCACTACCGAAGTGAAACGCCGCCACTCACATTCAAATCACAACATGCAAACGACACAACACGGCATTTTCTCCTGAAGTGGATTTTCCAATTGTACAGCACAGTAAAAGTGTCTGTGTACAATAGAAAAACTACCAATGCACCACATGGCATTTTTTGGTGAAGCAAATTCCCCCCATCGATCGTGTATTGGACTCGCAGCAGGCAACCCAGTACATTGTAAACACCACCTCCACATATACCAGCAATACAATGAAACTACCCCATAGCACACTGCGAATTTGACTATGAATGATAAATTCAGCCTGACAACCCCAAATAAATCCAACATCCCCATCTGCACACCACCATGGAAATCACTATTTTGAGATTGCATCTTTGCCCAGTCCAACAGGACCCAACCAGACTCCAAGCGGACTGTTAACCCCCAACACAAACGACAGACCATAACCAAATTTTCTGCCTGCAGCACACCACATGTTACAAAATGTTTTGACATCTAAATCGTGCTCTTACTTTTGGATTGGGCATTTTAGGATCAAGACCAACAGAATCGGCCTCAGACGACAGGAGCCACAAAACGTTTGCTTAGAGCACAGTAAGAACATTTTCATATCGGGGACTCTGGACCGACAACACCTCCCTTCCCAGCCAGATCTTCTGGACCCTTTCCCCAATAAACGGGCAAAAGCTTGCTATGCTCTGCAGACAAACTCACACACCTGATGCTCCCCACAGTGTGTACGAAAGTGCATGCAAGCACACTCACACAGACTAGTGCACAGGTGCAGACAGACATGACATGTGCACACACACACACACGCACGCACGCACACACACACACGCACGCACGCACGCACGCACACACACACACACACACACACACACACACAATGTGCAGACAACTTCCAACCACCCTCCAAGAACACGCATGAAAGCACAAAGGGCGCTTCAAGACGACTACACGACAAGTTAAAGTTGGCCGCTGGATGACAGAATCGTACCTTGATAAGCAACTCGAAAAAGCCCTTCTGGGCTGGGTCGGATACCGGAGTATACTTACATTGTTTCCACATGAACTTGTCAGGCTGTTGTCATTGAAATCATCACCATCTTCAACACCTGTGTTCGCACCAGATAACCACAGTTTCTTCTAAAACAGACATTCAGAGCCCTGWCAGAATCACAATTCAGAAGCTAATCCACCATAGGTACACTGGAACCTGATGGTCACCCTACCGTCTTCAGCCAAATAGAACGCCCARTCATTATCCCTGCATCTGGACTGAAGTTGTGCCAAATACARCTATAATGACYRGGCATTCTATTCGGGTGAAGACAGTAAATTAGGATAACTCCGACTTGACAGTTACTCTTTGGTCTCTAAGTACATCATGCCCAAAACATCCACAAAATATCAAAATCCCGCCACTTCAGTCTTGGCGATAAAGCCCAGAACAAATTAGGCACCACAAAGAAGCCKACAAAGAAAAAAAAGCTCAGGAAGACACCTCCAYGGCAAAACCWGTGAAAGCTCRGWAGGAACATATTAAAGGTGACGATTCARAATAGAGCTTGTGTGCCCCAAAACCAGCAACCTYATGATGAACAAACAGGGGTCCCTCTTGACATCATCATATATTCAACGAAAAGCATTATTTCTTTTCCTCCATGTTGACATCATCATATATTCAACGAAAAGCATTATTTCTTTTCCTCCATCTTGACATCATCATATATTCAACGAAAAGCATTATTTCTTTTCCTAGTTCTTTTTTCTTATTAGAACAGGTTTGTTTTGGCGCCTACCGCCTACCCCTACCGTAGGCGGTAGGCGCGCTTACCAGTCCGGCTGACCCGTAGGTGGACCCGTCGGCGGTCGGCAGACTGCCTATTTTTTTTATTTTTTTTTTCCGGATGATATGGTCGTGTGCGGCTTGAGGAGGGCAGCCCGAATCTGCAATAGTTTTTTTGGGGGGTGGTGGGTTTATAGGGGGAGGTATAGGGGGGTTATAGGGGGTAAAGGGGG